TTCTTGTTAATATTATGTTAAACATAGCCCTTTAAGTTTCACATGTGCTGTTTTACGTCTGCTGGGCTTAAAATGTATACGGTGTAGATGATATATAAATATTCCGAGAGCCACAGTATTGTTGGTGTGTATTAATCTTTAAACCTAATTGGGACTTTCTTGTGTTAAAGTAATTTTATTTATCATAGATTGTGTTGCAAAATTGTACTTCTTCCCTAACAAAAGCAGAGAACCAAACTTCTACAGTGGTTGATTATAAGACCCCGATTAATGAACGTTTGTCGGAGCGAGATATAGTTGTATGTTAAAAAAATAGTAGACTGCGGTTTAAGATTTTATTTTATTTGAGCACTCCCGATTTTACAAAACACCTTTATTGTAACAATATATATATAAGCGAGGTTCCTACAGCCTCTGCCGTTTCTCGCATTTCGACCGCCATCGTTTTCTGTCCATCCATTCGCCTTCTCTGATGGCTCTATCTCTCATTATGTGCCGTACATTTTCTTCCCAGGCAACTGAAGGCCTTCCCCTTCTTCTTCTTTGTTGTGGTATGTAATTTAAAGCTTTCTTTGGCCATCTATCTTCATTCATTCGTTTCACGTGACCATACCACACTAGTTGTCTCGTTTCAATTCTATCTACACTGGAATATACAGTATTTGTCCTCCTTCTAATATCTTCATTCCTGATGTGATCTTTTTTGGATATACCACAGGCTCTCCTTAGAAAATCCATTTCTACTACTTCTATTCTTTTTCTATCCTTCTGCGTTATCTGCCAAACCTCTGCCCCATAAGTCATAATAGGCTCTACCAAGGTTCGATAGATTGTCAATTTCGTTTCTTGTCTAATATCTTTAGACCAAAGTAGAGAGTTTAGAATGTTTACCACTTTTTTTTTTCTGCTGTGTTCTGTTTTCGATGTCTCTTTTGGTAGTGCCTTCTTTAGATATTATAGATCCAAGATATTTATATTCATTGCATGTTTATGCAATGTGTTTATGGTTGTGTTTCTAATTTCTAACTCTGGATCTTCTTCACCATCTCCTATTTTAAGATACTCTGTCTTTGCCATATTCATATTGAGGCCCCATTTTTCATATTCTTTCTTTAGTTTTCTAAACATGTAGTCCATGTCTTCCTCGTCATTCGCTACGACTACCTGATCATCTGCGAAAAATAAAGCTGTTAGACATTCACCACCGCCTATGTCTATTCCCATTCCGGATACTTGTTTTCTCCACTGCTCTAGCGATGATTGAATATATATTTTAAACAGGGTCGGAGACAGACAACATCCTTCTTTAAGCCCCTTGGTTATTGGAAATGATTCAGATATAAAGTTTCCTTCTTTAACGACACTTCTTGCATTTTTGTATATATTTGCGATAGCATCCACATACTCTCTACTAAGACCCACTCTCGTCAATGTATAAAATAGTTTTTTCAAAGGTACCGTATCATATGCCTTCTCTAAATCTACAAACAATAGGTGGGTAGATAGATTCCTTGCCTTCCGTTTTTCGATTACCTGCTGCAGAACGAATATATTATCAATGCACGATCTTCCTGCCCGAAATCCATTTTGTTCCTCTATGTCTTCATATTCTGATTCAATTCGTTTTTTTATTATTCGACCGTACAACCTCCCAACTGAGCTAGTAACAGTTATTCCTTTATAATTAGAGCAATTGCGTTTATCCCCTTTTTTGTATATTGAGCTGATGTATCCAACATTCCAATCATCAGGGATATTTTGTCCTTTTAAGCATTTATTAAATAGTTTAACCATCATCTCGTGTAATATTTTTGGTCCATACTTTACCAACTCAATTGGGATGTCTCCAGGTCCTACTGCTTTACCGTTTTTCGATCTTTTGAGGGCATCGCATAACTCTCCGGTTGTTATCTCAATTATTTGTGTATGTTCAGATATTTCTTCCATTTCGATATCTTGGAATTTACGTCTCTATTAATTTGAAGTTAGATTTTTCCCTTCCTTCCCTCCGGAGAGACTTTATCACCTTCCACGCTTGCCCAACTCTTGTTCCACCCATATACCTATCCACCTCTGCACATCTTCGATCCCACATCTCATTTTTACTTTTCACTACTTCTCTTTTTACATCTCGATTTAATTTCGTATATACCTTGTGATCTTCCTCCTTTCTCGTTGACATCCATTTCTGATAAGCAGTTTTCTTCTTGTTTATTAACGTTTGCATATTCTCCGACCACCATTCTTAATTTTTTGTTTCATGTTTGTCTTTATACCCCAAAGCTTCACTTGCAGCCTCACGAATGTACTTTTTAAGTTGTTGGTATAATTCTTCCGCTGTTATATTTTCTCGATCCACATTTTGTAATTTTGTGGCCAGTCGTAATTTGTAAAGAAATTTTGTTGAATCTTCTTTTAAGCTTTCTAGGTTATATTTAGGAGATGTTACTTTTTGTCCCTTTTCTATATTCTGTACCTGAGTGTTATTGTTTTTGCGATAGTTAACTATCACATTGGCCATAAGTAAATGATGGTCGGATCCACATTCTGATCCACGGTATACCCTTACGAGCGCAGATTCCTAGTAGGTTGTATCCATGTAAATTTGTGGATGTCTCTATGTTGAAAAAATCCATTCATAATTTTGAGAGACATTATTTCACAAAAATCTCTAAGACGCATTCCGTTGTCATTGATTATTTGTTCTCCATATCTTCCTACGACTCTGCTATTTTCTTCTGTCCCTACTCTGCCGTTTAAATTTCCTAGTATAAAGATTTCACAGTTTTCTTTAACTTCAGAGAGTATTTCATTCATATTGTCGTAGAAATCGTCTTTACTTTCTGGATTTGCATCTTCGTTTGGGGCATATACTCCGACAATTACGATATTGTGCCCATTCTTTTTCATTTCCAGTATTAGTAGTTGTTCATTTACTTCAGTCCACGATTTAATGTTGTTTTTAAGATTTTTTCGAATGGCAATAGAGACTCCCCTCTTAGGTCTGTTATCTTTACTCACTCCGCTGTAGATATGTATATATTCTCCTATCTCTTCATTTCCTTTTCCCTTTTTCTTGGTTTCTGTGAGAACACATAATATATCTATTTTTCTTTCCGCTAATTTTTTGAATACTTCTGCTTGTTTGGTTCTCAGTCCTTGTACATTCCATGTAGCCAATATCATTTTCCTTTTTCGTTGCATTAGTCGTCTTTGTGTTGATCCATCCTTTGTATTCCGAGGCTTTTGGTCGAAATTTTTAGCATTAATTTCTTTTGACAAGGGACGAGTTGCTAGCCCATCGCCTCAACCCTCCTCCTTTATCCGGGCTTGGGACCGGCATCGGCATTTACTGAGCTACTTAATTCACCCAGTACTTACCGAAGGCGGAGTTTATTGTAACAATATGTCTTGAAATAACTGAGTTTAAAAACGACTTTGCTATGTCGATGTGAGTATGTTGCGAGCAGGATGCGATTATTTAGAAGAGCCTTTATTTGTGTTTTTGTTTTTAGACATAGTTTTAGGAGCTCATTATATATTAGTATGTTAATAATATTGCTTGGAATATATACAAAAGGGTCTGGTTTATGAGGTAATAAAGTGTTTAAAAGACATTTATCGAAACTTAAATTTTTTTGATAATGAAAATATGTCACAAAACTGTAACAGATTGGTTTTCGTATTTTTAATTCCTTTTTGTTTTTGTCTTCTCTTGTTTAGCTTATTTTGGTAATCAAAGTGCAGTTGTTCTCATTGTCAATTTTTTTACTATAATCGATTTTGTATATGGGTCTCTTAATTGTTACCTAAGTTTTGCGGATAATTTCAGAGGTTAAATTCTAAAAAAATATATTGATGTGTTCTTCGCTTATGGATATTATGTATTTTATATTTGTAGTTGATTTTTCATCTTTCAAAAATCACGTTATTACATGATTTTTTGGTCTTGCACTAGGCGGCCTACATTCATATTTCATGAGTTTTTGATTTGTTCAACAAATAATTTAAACGTTGTAAAACATATACCATCTTCTTCTTCGTCTTAGCCTTCTATCGTCCATGTTTGAACATAGGCCTCTCCCAACTCCTTCCATCGGTCTCTATCCTGAGCAACATATTTTCAATTTGTTCCGGCTATTATTTTCCTGGTCATTTACTTTCGTAAGGTCTCCAATGTTTAAAAAAAAAAAAAAAAGAGGTTAGTCTTTGTAAATGGGTATATTTATTTAAAAAAACCATTAAAAGGGCTACATCAATAAAACAAACGTTTTCGGACCACACAGTCCGGCCACACCTCTCTCACCAGCTCTGGAACTCGATTCAGCCATGTGTTACCTCTAGTCAAATTTAATTTAATACTGAACATTACAGTTATTTTACAACGCAATGTACAATCTTTTATAACTAAATGTAATTTAAAGGGTTTTTACCCTAGTATTTTGGTGGCTCAGACATTGTGACCTAGCATTTTTCGATTTTAAAACCTGATGATGGACTGTGTGGTCCGAAAACGTTTGTTTTATTGATGTAGCCCTTTTAAGGGTTTTTTAAATAAATATTCCCATTTACAAAGACTAACCTCTTTTTGGTCCGCAGTGTGGCCCGCGAAGTTTGATTTAAGTTTGGCAATTTTTGTTATGTCCTTGACTTTTGTTTTTGATCTTACCCAGTCGTTCCTCTTTTTATTTGACAGTCGGATACCTAACATTGCTCTTTTCATTATTCTTTCTGTTGTGGCTAGCTTATTTATGTTTGCCTTGGTTAGGGTACAGGTTTGACATCCATATATCAAACATATATCATATATATACCATATTTGTACAAAATTTTCAAAAATGGGAAAAAACAATTGTAAAAAATTATATCAAAATTACATTATGTTATTTTCTTTAAATTGCTATCATTTATTTTCATTTTATGTTACTGTCTAGTAAGTAACTCTTTAGAGAAAAACCTTATGAAAAATTTGTAATAAATATATCTAATTTTGATTTCAGATCTGCGAATTCTTCTCTGGTTCTGATTCTACTTACTACTGGGATGATGAACAAAAAGTACCTCACAGAATTTACAACGATCAGTGGATTGGTTATGATGACGAAAGATCAATATTATTAAAAGTTGACTTTGCCGTAAGCAACGGCGTCGGTGGTATTATGGTGTGGACCTTGGACACAGATGACTTTCTGGGACAATGTGGAGAAAAATACGTATTGGTTAATACTATTAAAAAAAGGTTGGAATATCATGAACAACAAAAGAAGAAAAACCAATGATTTATTAATTAAAATATTTTTGTTAGAAACGTAAATTTTTATTTTTAAAAGTTTCTTACTTAGTATTTATATAGTATGTATAGTATAGGATATTAAAGACTTTTAGTTTATATAATAACATTTTTTTTATTATTTTAATCAATCAATTTAAAAAATGTTTAATTATTTCTGATAATAACTAGGCAAATATAGATACACAGGATACTTAATGTGAAATTTTCACATTTTACATATTATAATAGTCACAACTAGCATTATACCTGAGAAACGCATTTTTCAAATATTCTCTGATATAATTTAAATGAATTTATCATTATCATCCTGTATATGTCAACTGCTTGGCATAGGTCTCCCTCAGCTCTTTTCATCTGTCTCATGTCTTGTGCAGCTTGCATCCGGTTATTGCTAACACGCTTCAGGTCATCAGTCCATCTAGTTGGTGGGCGTCCTCTGCTCTGTATTGCTTCTTGTCTCGGTCCATACTCTAAAATTCGTTTTATCCAACGGTTTTCTGATAATCGGGCGACGTGTCTTGACCAATTACATTTACACGACGTGATTTTTTAGATGGCGTCTGTTGTTTTGGTTCTATGACGTATTTCTTCCTTTGGAATTTGGTCTTTAAGAGAGACATCCAACATCTGACACTCCATAGCCCTCTCGAGTCACACGAATCTTATAAACTACCTTTTTTGTCAGTGTTAATGTTTTCGCTCCATATGTGAGTACAGGTAACGCACATTGGTCAAAGATTTTTGGTTTGAGGCTTGTGGGTGGATCCGATTTAAATACATACATAGTTTAATTTACCAAACACTGCCAGGCTAATCCTACGCGACGTGGGAGCTGAAATTTCTGGTTATCCCTATCCAACCAAATTTCATGCACTAAGTACTTATACGATGTAGTCTGTACAATATACCTTCCATCAGCAGCAATATTTCGATTTACCACCAGATTAGTCATTATTTGCGTCTTATTCATATTAATCATATTAATCTCCATACAAGCGGCTATAAGGACGATATAATCTGCAAATCCCAAATGGCTGAGCTACTCTTCATTTATGTTGATACCATGCTCGTTTAGATGTGCCTTCCTATATTCTCTTGCATAATCTTACGTTAGCTGTGGTATTTTGGTAGATATATTTGATTATGTTCGTGTAGCGATGATCTATTCGGCATTCTGTCAATGCTTTTAACATTTTCTGCGCAAGTTGTAAGTCTACGTAAGTCTATTTTTTCGTAAGTTGTCTTTTTTTATCGATTAGCTCTATAGTATTTTGGCTTAGTCTTTCTTTATCGGTCAGAACAGTCGGGAAGTACTCCCTTTGCATTTTTTAGAGCCTTCATTATACCATCATTTGCTTAATCTACATCTTTAATTTCGTCTTGGAAGTCTTGTATATGTCTAATTACTGCATCTTTATACCGGTCGTTGTTTTCTGGGGAATCCATTTCTTTTTTCTTGTTTTTGAGATCATCTTTGTTCTTTTCACTTTAATATTTAATAATATCTTAGCTCGGATTAATCTGTAGTAGCTTCCTATTGAAAATTTGTTGAGTACTTCGATATCTTTAATTATTTCTTTTCTGTTTGTTATGATATAGTCTATTTTATTTTTGACACTGCCATCTAAGCTGATCCATGTCCATTTATGCTAAGGCTTTTTATCGAAAAATTAGTTCAGCATGAATAAATTTTCCTGGTGTAAGTTCAGCAATCTTTGCCCTTGTACATTTTTCTCGCCATAGCCAGACTTACCCATTGCTACCTCTGCATAATTTTGGTTAAACCCCATTTTTGCATTAAAGTCGCTCATATTCATTGTTTAATATGCTGGTGTGGCATGTAATGCTGTTTCTGGGTCCTCATAAAATTTTTTAATTTCTTTAGTCAATAATTTATACACTCGGAGTATGTTTTTCAGCTGTTGCTCCAGTTCCACAATTTTCTGGTCTAATATAAGAGTTCTAACATTGTATGAAGTATTGTGCTATTATGCATTTGTCGCCCTTTGTAGTAGCCCGATTTTTTCCGCGGATTCTTAGCACCCTCTGCTCCAAACCAGTTCCAACCGCTATCTTGGTTGGGGACATTGGAGTCATCGAAGACTGAGGGTGGTTTAGTAGTTTTATCTTTGGGTTTGGACATAGTTAGCAGAGAAGTGTCCACCTGCTAGCCTTATCTCTGTTTATAGGATCTACAAACAATTTTAGTGAATGCTACACGTTGCAATGTTTCAAGCTGAATTATTTACAATCCTGTACCGATGATTTTATTAACCCTTTACCGGCCAACGAAAAAAAAAACGAAAAAAAAATACGAAAAACCAATATATTTTTCTTATAAACAACACCAAAGTAACACATATGTGTGTATGGATAAAAAGAATGAAAAGTAGTCATTTTTAAAAATAAAAATGGTGTTTCTTATACGCACCAATGTCATAGTGTTAAATGATATTGCCGAAAACAGTAAATAAATTGTGAAACGTTCACAATTTTTTGACTTTTACACATACGACAGAATCAGCTCTAATGATAAAATGCCCAGTCTGATCAAAACTTACTTCATTGGGTGGTTCTGAAGGAAGTAACCCTAGGATTATGTTCTTCATTTTTAGAATTAGGACAGCGCTAAATGATTTGAAATGTAGTTGTAGCGTTTTACTCTCCTGTACAGTATTGTACATTTTCCAAGCATTTACAAGAGTACTGTCGATTGCATTTATAAATAGTGGCCACCATCATTTCTTACCCAACAAACGGGATCTATAGTGGACTACACCATTATCATGAAAATCTACCCCTCCCATGGATTTATTAAATGCAGAAATTATGGCTGGTTGTGTGACTAACGTCCCGTTTTTTTAGTTTTTTATAATACCTTTTGATAGAGCTGGGAGGTCCTATATAATAATGGGTACTGATTGCTGTCACAATGGAATTGTTATTTCGTTTCAGCAAAGAAATATACGTTGATTCCTCAAACTGTAAATCATATAAGCGCTTGTTCTGTTTTGAGAGCAATGTACTTGGTATCAAAGGACAGTTACTTGTTCAAAAGTTCAAGAACTACACTCGTGCCAAGTCCAAGAATAGTTATTTTTTCCGCAGCTCCCGCGTAAGAAATAAACTGATAAAGGTATCCACTCGAAGAATACATGCACCAAATCTTAAATACAAAACGAACAAGCTTGCCTTTGATATACCTCCTGCAAGATTGTCGATTAAAATAAGGAATAATATGCTTATCATTGCACAAGCCACATCAAAAAATTCAAACTCTTAAAATTTCTAACTTTCTGGTTAAGTGAGTCAAAAATGAGACAGAGTTTTGTAAATTTGTCAGTTACATCCAGATTGTCATTATCACTTAAATGTAGGTTGCGCTTTATTGATTTGAACTTATTTTGGCTTATACATTTTGCGACAATATTTACAATTTTACCCTCATCTAAGGTCCAATACGTCTGCAGTAATGTATGGTTGCCTGAAAAAAGCAGAAAAAAACGGCAGTTCTTTTCGTGATAGATGGAAGTCATGTATGAGATTCTTCGCTCTAAAACTGTATAATTAAACTCTAAAAATAATTAAATCCATTACGTCCTCATCGATAAACTTGAAAAAAATCTAATTGTGACAGGTCCTCTAATTTGCCTTTCTATTCTTGAATTTGTTCCTTCTCTTTGGACGCAGGTAGATTTTGGTGCACAAATTGATACAGTTGATCTACCTCGGGGGGAAATTGATAGCGTCAATTTGCTCTAGAAAGAACTAAAAATGTTCCGAGTAATACATACAAAAAATATATACAAGCGTGCTTAAACATTCAAGAATAAAGATACACTAACCATTTTCAGAGCTCAACTCACGTCAAAAATTTGACATATTTTACATAAAATAAATCAGAAACATGCACTCGAACTCGATCAGATGGAGACAAAGCAATTATAGGGTATATCTAAAATAAAGCTGTTTATTTACTTCCCCGAATAATATTTTTGTACTTCTTAAGAATCTTGTTGGCATTTTACACTTATTTATAATATGAACATAATTTATTTATGATCTAACCTTACCTTCACGTTGGTGAACCCTGTTATCAGAAAGGAGGCTCTGATGACCGAGTATCGGCGGTATAACTGTAACATTCGGAATTAAGGAAATGTAATCATCCTTACATCCTTAGACAGTCCTATCAGGGAGAATGAATCATTCTCCAGGGTCACGGATAAAGACCACAACGGCATTCTAGGCGGAGAAGGATACCTTCATTACGGCGAGGATGGCGAAAGTGGCACCCCCTGATTTTAGGGTTAATATAAAATCAGTAGCGTCTGATCCAGAGTGGACGGCTACGAACAGCGTCTGACCCAAAGTAAGCGACTGAATATACACTCACCAACCCGTCTAACCAGCGTGGTGTTTTATGGTCAACACCTCCCTTCTCAAATGGCGAATACAAACCCGAACGGAACTGGTCCACAGGTAGGTGGTTCATATTGTGGTAAATTCTACACCTTATCTAATAAGGTCAGTCTCATCGGATCTGGGGGAGACAATAGTTCATCAATAAAGACAACAAAAATGTATATCTCAACTTTCAATGTACTAAACTCTATGAATTAGAGCAAGAAGTGCTCTAATTGCATGACACCTGCAATGGGACATAATCGGACTATCGGAGGTAAAAAGAAAAGGTGAACACTGCATCTCGCTAGAGTCAGGAACCATATTGTATTTTAAAGGTAGAGAAAACGAAAGTTTAGATGAAGTTGGTTTTTTGAAACCAAAAAAAAATACGCTCATAAAATTGAGGAATACGTAGGAATATCAGAAAGAATCGCTTTATTAATCATAAATATCAGCGAAAAAGTCACTTTAAAAATAATTCAGATTTATGCGCCAACATGTACACAGACACGAAGAAATGGAAGAATTCTATGAACACCTCACAGAGTCCATGACGTATCGAAACACTACCTACACGATTACAATGGGCGATTTTAATGCGAAAATGGCAAAAAGCTAGAAGAAAACGAAAATTATATTGGAGAATTTGGACACGGTGTAAGAAATGAAAGAGGAGATCTATTGGTTAACTATCTAGAAAATAACAAATTATTTGCCATGAGCTCTTTCTTCAAGAGAAAGCCACATAGAAAATGGACGTGGATGTCGCCAGATAGGAACACTAAAAATAAAATTGACTACATACTAACAAACAAAAAGAATATATTCTAAGATGTCACAATAATAAACTCAATCTCTACCAGTAGTGATCACAGAATGATACGGGCTAAAATAAGTATTAAACACAAAAAAGAAAACACAAAAAAGATCGTAGACAATATGTGCACTCTAAGAAAAAAGTCCACCCAGAAAAATTAAAGGAGAATAAAGAACAATACCAAAACAGATTAAGAACAGCTGAAGAACTAAAGCTAACAGACCTAAATCTAGATCAACTAAACAAAGCCATCACTAAAGAACTTCTAAAGACTAGCTTGGAAGTAGCACCAGCAAAATCAGACAAAAAATCAAAACTAAGTGTCATATGTTTAGACATGCTACAACAACGGAGAAGCCTACTACAAGGAAAAACAAGAAATCCAACTGAATACAAAACCCTTAAGACAGAAATAAGAAGTGGTATAAAACAATATCTTAAACAGCATCAAGAAGAACGAATCCAGAAGATTATAGAAGAAAACAGAAACTTAAGATCTATCAAGTCCCGCCTAGAAAAAAATAAAATCATAGATATGGAAAATAAACAAGGTGTAATAGAAAAAAGCAGAACCTAAATATCCAAGATAACAAGGGAATATTATAGTGACCTCTACAGGTCTAAAAGCAGTGCACCTGATACAACTCAACAAAACATGAATAAGAAAATAATGAGTGTAAACTCTGAAATATTACCTCCCATAACCGGAGAAGAAATAAAGACCAATTAGAGATATGAAAAGAAATAAGGCTGCGGGAGACGATGAAATTCTAATTGAAATGTTAAAAGAAGAAGGGAAAAGATAAAAGACTACCTAAAGATAATTTTTAATAAATGTTTGTTTGAAGGACAAATACAACAAGAGTGGACCAAGGCAAATACAATTCTGATATATAAGAAAGGAAATAGATCAAAATTAGCTATCTACAGACCAATATCTCTCTTGTCACAAATCTATAAAACTTTCACTAAGGTGATCCCAACTAGACTAAACAACAAATTTGATGCATACCTACGGTATTTAAAAAGGGGTACAGCACAACCGACCACCTTCACACTCTTAAAATACTGATAGAAAAGACCAACGAATACAACCTTCCAATGTACCTAGCGTTTGTTGACTATGAAAAAGCGTTTGACAGCGTAGACCTATGGACAGTGGAGGAAGCGCTAGTTAATTGCCGAATAGATTCACGGTACAGAATGTTAATCCGCAATATATCAAAACGCCAATATGAGAATTTTGCTAGACAGATATTTGCAAACTCCATTAATTAGAATTTGTAGAGGTGTCAGACAAGGGGATACAATCTTAACCAAACTATTTACTCTGGCAGACATTGTTGGAAGACATTTTTAAATCTATAGACTGGGACAATAAATGGATTTGTATAAACGGGAAATATTTCAATCATCTTAGATTCGCCGATGATGTATTCCTGATAGCATTAATTTACGATATGTTGAAGAAAATCCAATCCCATGGTTTTCATCATACACTTTCGAATCTAAGACCAAAACTCAGAAGCGGAAATTAGCGCACATAATTGCAGAACAAATTCCAACAACCACAACGTTGAAATCTACTTTAGTAGTAAAAATAACTTTTTTGAAACCCCCGTTATCAATAAAACCTCTCTTCTTTATGGCATAAAACAATCTCTAATTCCTCATGAAAAGTCTTTAAAAACAGCTCAAATATATATCCTACCCAATATTCACAAAACCAATATTCCTCTACGTCCCATTGTCAGTGCATACAACTGACCTAGACAGCCATTGGCCACGTACTTGGCCAAAGCTCTACAACGTCTCGCCGAAAATGCTTCATCTTTCGTCAAATAATTTTTTCTCACCGTCAGACATTTTAGTAAATTTCAATATCGCTTAAATCTTTACAAACATTCCTATAGACGAAATATTCTGAGAACTAAATACAGTAGTCTGCAAGGGAATTTATCTCTCATTAAAGATTGTATGTTCAACACTTATTTCATCTCCCAAAATCAATTCTACAGACAAATAAATGATGTATCAATTGGCTTCCCACTATCTCTAGTAATTGCCAACATCTTTATGGAAGTTTGGTGTCTTTGTTGTTTTTTAAACCTATCTGAATGGTATACATCCTAGTATCCAGTTTACGATGAAGTGGAAACTGATTCACCTCTACCGTTTCTCGAGGTTATTATAAAGAGAAACCAATTCCAAGATTTTCATCACTCTGTTTATCGAAAACCCGCCCATACCAATCGTTACTTGTATGCCAACTGTCATCATCCAATTTCACAAATTAATTGTGTCAATAATACCTTTATCTCCAGTTCAATACGCTTTTGCGATGATGCAAGTAGATTCGCTAAGCTCTCTAGTTTAAAACAAGTCCTTATTTAAAACGGTTAACGTCGAAAATTACATCTATAAGAGCAAGACATTAAGACATTAATCTTCCACTCAATCTCAACCAAAAAACTTCTTCCTTACATCAGCAAAGGTATATTCGGTTCCTGTTGATAAATGTGATGTATCATTGCAATTCGCTCTTAGTGGGTCTAATGTACCATACATATTTCTTATTGGAATAGAGAACGTGTTAATTGCTATTCTTTTGTTAGTTATACCAGTTAATACAAGTACATGGTACATACATACATACCATCCAACGTAATATATAGTATTACCATAACTTTAAAATACCAAAAGAGCGTGATAATCAACTAATTATATTTACACCTATATTATAGAGACTACAAGCCCATGGAAGATTCAAAATAGGTCATTTGACCCGGTATGAATCACATACAAAACAATATTACAATATAGTAAACTTTAGAAACTACAACGTCAATTCTTATAGGTAGAATAATCAAACGTGAATGTTCTTCTACTCTGTTGGTATGGAGAAGGCGATTCTTCATTTTTCTCTGCAGCAATATTTATCTTCTTTCGGTTAATTCTTGTTCTTTCTTTATTTTTTCTTTGCACTAATTTTGAAATGAAATCTTGTTGTCTTTTGATGTCTCCAAGATTCCAGTAACGACCAAATATAGATTGTCTTTCTTCTTCAGGAATCTTCTCGCTACATTTCATTCTACAATGACATGGATCTTTCATTTTACGGGAGGGTTGAAGTTTATTTTTCCAAGAGTTGTATTCCTTTCCGCCGTTTCGAGATGTCTTTATTATATTTTTTCTCCAGGAAATTGGGTTTATTTTTCTTTTGCGTGACTTTCTTATTGAGACTTCTTCTTGATCAGGTTCCTGATTTAACAAAACAAATTTGGGATCATTTTGACAAGCCTATTTCCTCAATATTTATACGTAAACTTATGCAGAACTAGTCTATATTCACGGTAAACTTATGCAGAACTAGGCTATGTCCAGCTAAGCAAAGGAGCATCGGTTCACTGCGGTTCTCTTACATAGACCTACAATATCAAACTATGCAAAAATGGACATAGGCTACGCTACTTCTGCATCCGAGCGACGACATGTAATTCATGTTGGGTCAAATGATCCCCTAAAAACTTTCCGTGAGCTTGTAGTCTGTCAGTGTAACATCTTTTTATTTTTAATCTTAACACACCTACACGACGATATTTATTTACAAAATAATCTTTGTATGTTATCTGGGCATATTTTAGTACTTTCTTATTATCTACGATTTTTTAGCAAACAATACATCTTGCGTGTTTATTTTAACAAACAACTTTCTCAACGACTGATAAGATCGAGATTTTTTCTATAAAAAAATCACAATACCGATTTTACTCGTACTTGGTTATACAAATATAAAAATGAAACTTCAAATTTATTTAGGACTAGTTACGTTAATATTTCTTTGGGCGTATTCTACTCCAGGTAAGTATTGTTAAAACAATATTTAGTTTGAATTTGATTTGATTCTAGTACTTAAAATGGTAATGTTTAGATTTAGTACCAGCTTTTGTTGTATTGTGTAGTACAAAAATATTCTTTTTGTTTTACGTAGCATTTGTTTGCTCCATATTTTATCGCCAAATAAAATTTCCTTGGTGATTCCTAGCAATTTTATTTTCGTCTGTTCACCAGCCTCTCTGGTTTTGAGCTATACGTTGTGGCAGTTTATTATTCTTTTAATACGTGTGTTTTTCTTTATTCAGAGTTTACTATCCTGATTTATTAGCTTTTTGTATTCTACTTGTAGTTTGTTTAAGTTAGCTGCTCGTGTATTTATCTCTCCTACAGCCGTTGGCTGGCAATATACAACTTATTTAACTTCTGAAAGTCATCACTCATTTAATCTTATAGACCAGAGACATTAGCAAATAAAAGGAGTTTTCCGTGACACTCTTTAATATAGGTATCAAACAATTGCTTTTGATTTTGGTAATAACAATATGTAATAAACCAAATATATAAAAAATGCGATTTTCTACCTATCAAAAATATATCCACATGATGATGTAAGATCGCTTCTTCTTCTTCAAGTTCCATCTTCTATTGAAGGTTGGAAATCATCAAGGCTATGCGGACCCTGTTGATTGCCGCTCTAAATAGTTCTGCAATACTGTATTCAAACCATTCCTTCAAGTTCTTAAGCCACGATATTCTTCGTCTCCCACATTTCGCGTTCCTCGGATTTTGACTTGCATAATAAGATGCAATAATGGGTATCTTTCCCCTTTTATAACATGGCCTAAGTACTCAAGTGGTTTTTTTTATAGTCAATATTATTTCAGCTTCATTTCCTATTCTTCTAGTAACTTATGTGTCTGACACTCTATGAGTCCATGATATTCGTAAAATTCTTCTCTAACACCAATATTCAAAGGCGGACAACTAATTTAGATGTACTTGTTTTAATGTCCATGCTTTCAAGCCATTAAGAAAAGCGGTGAATACGTAACACCAAAGCATTCTTAGGAGTAGTCCTAACCTTATTACCTGACAGAAAAGAAACTTTTTAAAGTTAACGAATGATGCACGTGCTACTTCAATACGTGTCTTAATTTCTTTGGTTTGGTCTACATTTGATGTTATCCATATTTTTTAAGTATTTGTAATATAAGTATTCACACTATCAATTACAATATCCTTAATAATCAATTGGATGTTTGCATCTGCTGATTTAGTTATGATCATGCATTTAGTTTTTTTTTAATTCATCTTTATTCCCTATTTATGACAGCATCCATTAAGTCGTTGCATCACTTCTGTAAATCATTGTTGTTATCCGTCATTATTACTGTTCTGCAAACGCAAGTTACTTAAAACTTCTCTATTGATATATATATATATATATATATATATATATATATATATATATATATATATATATATATATATATATATATATATATATATATATATATATATATATATATATATATATATCAATAGAGAAGTTTTAAGTAACTTGCGTTTGCAGAACAGTAATAATGACGGATAACAACAATGATTTACAGAAGTGATGCAACGACTTAATGGATGCTGTCATAAATAGGGAATAAAGATGAATTAAAAAAAAAACTAAATGCATGATCATAACTAAATCAGCAGATGCAAACATCCAATTGATTATTAAGGATATTGTAATTGATAGTGTGAATACTTATATTACAAATACTTAAAAAATATGGATAACATCAAATGTAGACCAAACCAAAGAAATTAAGACACGTATTGAAGTAGCACGTGCATCATTCGTTAACTTTAAAAAGTTTCTTTTCTGTCAGGTAATAAGGTTAGGACTACTCCTAAGAATGCTTTGGTGTTACGTATTCACCGCTTTTCTTAATGGCTTGAAAGCATGGACATTAAAACAAGTACATCTAAATTAGTTGTCCGCCGTTGAATATTGGTGTTATATATATATATATATATATATATATATATATATATATATATATATATATATATATATATATATATATATATACCTTTTATCGAATCTAAGAGCGTTTTTTTTAAATACCGCTCTACAATAGACATTGAACAGTAGTGGTGGTAGCGAAGAATGAACGAAGAATGAAAAAGGATAAAGAAATTCTCAACACTATAAAGAAAAGAAAAATGAGCTACTTTGATCACATACTAAGAAACGAGAAATACGAATTGATGCGGCTGGTCATACAAGGAAAGGTGGAAGGCAAAAGAGGACCGGAGAGAAGATGCACGTTTTGGTTGAAGAATCTGATATAATGGAGTGGGAAAACGGCAATAGAACTTTTCCGAACGGCTGCAGATAGAGTCAAATGGGCTATGATGATCGCTAATGTCCTTAGGGATAGGTCAAGTTACGAAGAAGAAGGTGACAGCACGCAACCCTGACGGACTCATCCCTGTATTTTGATATCTCAGGCGTTCTGATTGTCAGCTCTTATCTTGGCAGTTGGATTCTAATATAGATTGGATATAAATTTCTTATCCAACTCTCGATATTTCTGTTTTTTAATATTTCTACAAGCTTTTATGTTGAAAACTAATAAATGCCTTTTCAAAATCTACATAATATAAGTACATGTCCTGATTCATATCCATGCATCTTTGGGCCAGCACATTCAAGCCGAACAATGCATTTCTTGTGCCCTTACCATTTTTAAAGTCAAATTGTGTGTCACTAATTTCATATCCAAGAGTTTTAACAATTCTGCTGTGTATTATGCTGTCAAATATTTTTTAGTGTGTGACTCATTAAAGCTATTTTTCTGTAATCTGAGCACGATATTGCACTTGTCTTTTTGAATATTGCCACAAAGGTCGATTGCAGCCATTGTCTGAGATTTGTGGCAATCTGATATATTAGATTAAAATGTTTAATCATTACATCAACAAAATCTTCTTCAATGAGTTTTATTAATTACCGGACATCATCTTGTCCGGTAGCTTTGACTTCTTTTTTGTTTTTGATAGCGTAGACTTCCTCCCGTTATATTGGTGGTCCGATATCATCTGTGGTTTCTAATGATAGTTCTTCTCTTTTATTATTAAATAGCTTTTGGATGTAATTAATCCAGTGACATAATCTTTTCCTCATATCAGTAGTAATATCTCCTTTATTATTTTTAAGAATATTCGCTTTTGTGATTTTTCTAAAACCTGTCAATTCTTTGATTTTTTTGTATAAATTAACGCTATCATAGTTTTTATTCTATTCTTCTATTATCTTGTATCAGGCGAAACGGAAACTTAAGTCTAGTTAAGTTTTCGTTTATTTTAAATTTTGTTTCCGCATATGTGTTGTCTTGTTTGAACCGTCTAGTATCCATGATTTTCTTGGAGATCGCTATTTGATTTTTAATACTAAAGGTGAAGGACCGGTAAATTATATGGAAAAGTGACACAGTTTTACTGAAGTAGCACAGAAAATGAGAGCTTTTAAATTTATTGTTGTTAATACGTTAGCGTTACGTGAACCCTGGCCTGCCTCATACCATTCTTAGATCCTTCTCTGTCTAGTGGCTGTCTTCTTCATCCCCTTACTTCAATATATCTTAAATTATCCTGCACACGGTCCACATACCTGAATTTAGATGCATAATAAAAACATATGATGCAAATAGGAAAGTCTAAGATATTTAAGACAAAATTGTACGAGCCTCTTCCCACATCAGTTGGCCCAACGTTAGATTGATAAGAAAATTAAATTTTAGAGAGCAAAAATAAAAGCGCAGCGTAAGTTTTAGAAGTTTTAATGCTTCAAATAATATGTTTCAATTTCTTTATTATAGAAAATATTTTATAAAGTAATGAAAACTATTGAATAAACAGAACAACAATATTGCAATTGACTCAAATCTTTACGCTGTTTTGAACATTGTAGTCTCTTTTTTGTTGTTGTAATGTTAAACGTGGCTTTCTCTTAGCTGTAAATAAAATAAAATGTATTAAAAACAATTCGTACTAATTTTTTTAACTAGTAAAACTTACTTTCTAAGTACAAAACCCTAATTTGTGGGCCTCTGGGTAATATGTTGATCTAGAAACGTGTCTTCCAATAACGTCACTCTATAAAACGCTTAACTCCATATAATTTGCTCGTCGATTTTTTACTATAATGCGTCTTAATGCCCTTTGATCTGCTTCGGTTATTTTACTTGTTCGTACATTTCGAGGTTTTATGACGACTAAACCTGTAGTTTTGTATCTTCTGACTACATTTCTTAAACTATAGCGTGACAATTGCAAGATATTTTCCAGAATAAAAAAATCTAATAACGATTTAACAAATTTTCTCATTAATAACTTTACCTCGACCCCTTGTACAATCCACAAACGGCAAAAAGCTTTACAATACTACAAAATACATTTGACATTAACTGACAATATTATTGTTTTGATGTCATTTTTTCAGAGCTACCTCTGGATTTAACTTAATTATAAAAAAATCAACGTATGTTGACATAAGTAAATTCGTAGCTAGTACCTAGCTAATAAAAACCATAAGGCTAATATTTTTAATAAGTATTATTTAAAATGTCATATTAATTAATATAGGAACTTATGAAAACATGCAGAGTACAATTTGTTTATGGTAATCGACTTAAACTGCAAATTCCATAGGTGGGCCAACTAATATGAGAAGGGGCTCGTACACCTCAGTAGCAGAGAACACGGGTTTACTTCAGTAGAGAAATAGAAAAATGTCAATAGGCACATACTTTTACAAGTGGGTTTTTTGTTTCTTTTATTAAATTAAATTCAACCGAACTTTTTAAATAAAAATAATTCAGATAAAACAGTATACTGGTTTAATGATTAATGATGAAAATTAGCATTCTTGAATTTAGAAAACAGTACAGAAAAGCAATCAAACTTGCAAAAATTAATGCAAACGAGATTTTCATAAAAAATTTTAGTAACTCCCAACAAGCTATGCG